CAACCCATGGGAGTAGAGCACGCATGCTTTGCTGCTGTCTCTTATACACATCTAGATGTGTATAAGAGACAGGTGTGTGTGTGTGTGTGTGTGTATGTGTGTGTGCGAGCGCTAAAACAAGACTACCCTCTTTCACCGGATAATGACCAGGCAGTGTGCGTGCGAGTGCATACGCGCGCTTAAATTATGCGTGCGTGCAATTGATCGATCGATCGATCGTGCTCTGCGATCTACCCAACTCCAATCGTTAAATGGCACACAACACGATCGATCGTGCATTGCGATCTACCAAACCACATCCGGGGCAATGCTCAGAAAGTAAGCAATTCAAATCGTTATATAGACAACACGATCAAGAGAAAATAAGAATCATACCGAAAGGCTGTATTGGGGGCATCTTTCAGTCTAAATACAGCTATAAAACGCATCAAGAGAAAACAAGAATCATCCCACTAAATAAATTCACAGTGAAAGCAACTCGGATCGTGAAATGGCAGATAACATGATCAAGAGAAAACAAACAACTCGGATCGTGAAATGGCAGATAACATGATCAAGAGAAAACAAACAAGAAGCATAGCACTAGAATCACAGAGAAATCACCCACCCATTCACAAATCACCCACCCAATCACAGCAACCAACAGCAGTGTATAATCAACAGCGTCCATCCCATCGACTACACCAGAACACCGGATAAAAAATCCGCGATCGGCTGAATTTGGGGCATCTTTCAGTATAAATACAGCTATAAAACGCGGAATGAAAAGTTGAGCGAAGAGACGGTACATCATCACAAATAAGCAAGTTCTGGGATCGTCATCGTGCAACAACCCCCCATTGTAGAGGATGCAAGAAAAGACACCACAGGGTGTCGTAGATCTACCTTCTTCTCCCGAATACAACGCACGGTCATTATTATAGCTGTATTTGGGGCATCTTTCAGTCTCAATACAGCTATAATGACCGTTTACAGTATTTGTATTCGAGGGGAAGAAGGTGGCACCAATCTGTTTACTCCATCACAAAACACAACACGCATCTGACCAAAGAGATCACGACAGGAATGTGCTGAATCACATTGTAATTAGGAAAGAGAGAGTGAGCAGTGCAAAATGAGGATGAACTTCCCGCTAGAACATGGCCAGATGCACCCGCCACGTTTTTGTCTTTTTCACATGATTGGACCGATACAGGGCATCGCCACAATACTCTCGAAATGTCCAAAATGAGAATGAACTTCCCGATAGAACATAGCCAGATTCACCCGCCACATTTTTGTCTTTTTCACATGATTGGCACGATACAGGGCATCGCCACACTACTCTCGAAATGTGCAAAATGAGACTGAACTTCCCGCTAGAACATGGCCGAATTCACCCGGCACGTGTTTGCCTTTTTCACATGATTGGCACGATGCAGGGCATCGCCACACCACTCTAAATCTGCAAAATGAGAATGCACTTTCCTCTAGAACATGACCAGATTCACCCGCCACATCTGTCTTTTTCACATGATTTCGAGAGTGGAGTGATGTGGCGATGCCCACAGAGAGAGGACTTGCATTGGTGTACCAACTGAGGGCCAGATCCCACTGGCAAAGAGGATTGGAATAAGTGTCTGAATCAGGGCATGTTCCACGCAGAGATGCAGAAAAGCAGATCAATTACATGTCTGAATCAGGGCATGTTCCACGCAGAAATGCAGAAAAGCAGATCGATTACAGTTCTTTGCACCTCTCCACAAACACGTCCAGATTCAGACATTTATTCCAATCGTTTTTGCCAGTGGGATCTCGCCCTGAGCAACGATGACAGGCACGAGTCGAGGAAACAGTGAGCAACGTACCTTGACCACACATGCCCGATGTATCCTTGCGCCGCCTTGCGACGACTCCCGCGCAGACACCCCCCCCGCTGCCGCCACACCGGGCGCAACCGCTACCGAACAGAACGCAAGCGACAGACCGGCCGCCATCCCTCTCCAGAGAACAGTGAAGCTAGAATGACGAGATGACTAATTAGTGACTAATTAGCGCAGCAGACGTTGACAAGGCTTATTAGGAAGGCAGAAGGGGAGAGTCTTGGAACCACACAAGCCACGTGCTCAAGGCGGTGGAATGAGCAGCGCGGTCAATCAGAAGGCGCAGAGCAACAGTGCGACACATTCGTTGTAGTCGAACAGGGTATTTATATTGCCTGCCCACCGCTCATTTTTACGAGCAGTGGGCCCAAAAACGCTGCACCGGGGGCAAGGTCCCACTTGCACGGTGATTAAGAGATTCTGGCCGTTGATTTTTTTTTTTTTATCGCTTAATTCGTCTAAGTGGGACCTATCCCCCGGGCCCGGGTCACCGGTGAGGGAGTGGCGACAGGTGTAGCAGCAGCCGGGGAGTGGCCTCCGCTCCTTGCACCTCGCTGCGCCTCCCTTCGCCTCTCTCTCCGTGGATATTCCCTGTTCGGACTGCTCCCTGCCCATCGACTACGGTTGGCCCAGTGGAGGATCTTGTTCGCTGCGCATAGACTACGGTTGGCCCAGAGGAGCGAGGATCTTGTTAGGCTGCACATAGACTATAGGTTGGCCCAGAGGAGGATCTTGTTCGCTGCACTAAACCGCAGCCATAACCCTGCGGTATAGTGGGGTCCCGAGTCTGCGTCAAGATGGCGATGCCGGGGTAGCGGTATGAATTTTTGCTCTATTATTTGTGCAGGTCACCCTTGCGCAGGAGCCCTTACAGAGAGGGGTAGGGGTATGAAGTTTTGCTCTATTATTTGCTACCCAGTAACCTTCTGTGTATGGGCACCAGAACTGTAGGGGTCTAGAATGCGGTCACTACCCTTCCGGCTGCCCAGAGCTGCGGTCCGATGTTGGCCCCAGGCCTCAGGGTTAGTAGCCCTGTAAGCTAGGGCCTCGCTGCACTACTCTAGAAAGGTGCAAAACGAGAGTGAATCTTCCGCTAGAACATGGAAAGATACAGGGACATGATTTTTGTCTTTTGTGCATTTCAAGAGTAGTGCAGGGAGGGCCCTAAGCTGGATGATGGTTCCGGTAAATTGTGTGTTTTCCGGGTTGTTACAGTGGGGTTCCCTGGCCTTCTTTGTTTCTTCACACTCCTCAACAGGCTCCACCTACCCTGGGGGCATCGGAATTCTTGAACCATCAGTACTTGGCCCAGCTATAAACATTTCTAGTCGGATGAATTTGGGCGCTTCTGTAGTGGCCTGTACGTTTGCTAAGGTCGCGACTTGTGTGTACGGGCACTACTTTAGGAAGTACTGGTGGTTTGAGAGATCTTGCTGTTCATATTCACTGTCACTGCCAAAGTAGAGAAGTCGTAGAGGGTTTTAAACCATTGTCTACCGCGTGGGCACGGGGAACGCAGCCCTAAGGTAGCCAAATCAATGAGACTAAGAGCTAACACGAGAGAGAGAGAGAGAGAGAGAGAGAGAG